CCCTAGAATACCATCAAACACCATTATGTTCTTTGATGACATTTTTTGTTGAGGCACTCTCGGCTTGCAATGGCTAAAGAAGAAATTATCAACACATCTATAGACCTGGAAACGGTCATCTTTCAGTATAAGATCTCAGTGAAGTCTTACAGAACAATTATTTTATGCTTTGTTTTCTTTACTGTTTTCATTGTGTCTGAAGGTTTCTTAGCACATTGGAGGACGAAAAAGAGATATATACATTAAAACAGGAAGGCATAATATTGTAAGATTGGAAAAGTGTGAGATGCGATACCAGTGATTCCAGATTGTCAAAAGGCTGAATTATATGGCTTCTAGAAGGTCTTTCCATGGCTGCTAAATCTTGAGAAATCCTGAAAATCTCTTGGTCTGAGTACGTAATTTTTTTGAACACAGAAGACCAAAGTTCTAGTGATTAAGGATTTTCCACACTGAAATATTAGGGATTAATAGAAAAAGGAATCAAATACTACCATAAAATCAAATACTAGTTAAAGAATTCTCTAGTGATTTTATCACAAGAAAGAGATGATGAACTGCCTGGAAAGCATGCCAGGTGGTTCTTGCAACATGCAAGAAAGCAAGATTTAAATGCACCTCAGATATTTTTGGAGGAAAATGAATGATGGTTGGAATCAATTTGGCCAATGAAAAGGCAAAGAAAATGGTTGTTTCACCTTAATTCTACTCCCAAAAAACCTCCTAATATTTTTTTTTCTTTTACACATACATAGAATCAAACATGGTTTACGATTTTGAAGGGATAAGATCCTATTTACTGTTTCATATTTTTGTCTAATAGCATATTAATATGACTACAGTAAGTATTAGGATTTTTTTTAACTTTGCTTTGATATTTCTTGTGTTCTGAGTTAAACAAAACAAAGAGGGTTTATGTGTTTATGTCATGTAACAAATTACTCTGGATGTTGCCATAGGCAGTGGATAGTAAAAAAATATACTGATGCTACCAAACATTATGTTGTAACTGACCAGCAACATCCAGCAAGTTCCATGGACAAAAGCAAAATTAAGAGTAGGTATTCCATAAAGTTTCTGGCTAGCTCCTCAGCCAATGAACATCAACGTGCCTTCACTGATTTCTGATGATCTGGCCCTTCAATTCAGGAAATATCTGAGTGCACATACAAAATCAAAAGTTCTTAAGTATTGCAAAGCTTTAGCTATCAGGAAATACTCACTCTGTAAACAGTCAGCATTTAGGAGGTCTTGGCACTTCTCATGGCATTTGACACCACATTCAGTGCATCTCATGCCTTGTCTGGCTATGCCCCAAAGTAGACCTTCACATTCATAACAGTATGTGGGAGTTGTAGCTGTCCAAACTTCAAAGTTATGAGGTGTAGTTGATGATATTGGATAGATCAAAGCCTGCAATGTCTTCTTGAAGACATGTATTTTCTGTTGGGTAAGGAAAAACAAAAAAATCAAGACTACAGTTGAAGTGCTGTTTAATACAAGTGAACTGGAACTAAAGTATACATCATTATACTTAAAATATTACCAAATATCAGAATATACATAAAAGTATGAACTAGTTTGCAACATACTGATTCACTTATTTTACCTTGCACTTTGAAGACAAAAGAACTCTGTATGACTGTTTTGACTGATTATAGAAACAGGAGAGTTAAGTTGGAATCAAGTCAGTCAATTAACGGTCTTTTTTTTGTTTGTTTATAATATTTTGAGGCATTAATTAAAAAATTAATTAGCGTTAAGGTCATTGATGCATTTTAAGTAACTACCTAACGTTATTTCTGAATATTTAAATACTTCCTACAGGAACTTGGACACACTGCACAAATGTACTTGAATTATACACAGTGCTATCTTGTAATACTCAGTGTCTATATAATCTCCTCATCAAATAGAAGTGGGCCAATTTTATGGTTCCATTTTGTCTGTATTCCTATAATAGCATAATCACTACTTCCTTTTTAAGCACCAAGACACTATAAACAAGAATGATCCATACTCTCAAAAATCCACACCCATTTCTTGGACTGTTTAGGCTTAGGACCCATGACCAGTTCTAGTAGGAGAACGATTATCTGCTACTCACTGATTAGTACCACAAACAACATGAATCTCAGCTCCTTAGTGCTTAATAAGGTGGAAACAAAACAGTTCCTAAAGTTTTGTATATAAACCATAGGCTTATATGGCCACAACGGTCTGGTTTGTTTATTTGAGCTTTGTTTTCAGGAACCCAGATCTTCTAAGTCCAGTTGATTTATTGGGAATAAGAAAAACTCAGCAGCCAGTAGGCATCACTTGGCACCACATAAAAATATGATCTTGGTTTGTTTTTACTTCCCCCTAAATGCACACACAGCTGCCATGAATGTATTAGAAGGTCTAGACCTGTTCCCTTATAAATGAAAAAATTGTTTCTTTTAGAAAGAAGAAACCATATTAAAAGAGGTAAAACAGTGGGAAGTGGGATATTTCTGAAAGTCTGTCCTACTATCTCTTCATCTTGTGTGGATATAATGCAATGCTGGCTTGTGTAGCTGTAGCAAACTGGGGAACAACATTTTGGAATCTGTGTGGTTTGTCGATATGAGCTTTAACATCACTGCCGCAGTTCCGATAGCACGGAAAGCAAGGCGAACTAATGCAGCTAAGTGTTTGTCAACACTCCCATAACTTGAATATTCAGCTGTGGTAAGTATTTGCTAAATGCAAGATATTAGCCTGCCTGACAGTACGCTGACATGCTCTTGGTTTACATAGCTACATCTCCGCTCAAAAGTGTGAGATATTCTGCTAACAATAAACTGACTGATAAAAATAAATGATTTTTTTTCTGTGCGTATCTGCTTAATTTTGCACAATCAAGACCAAAGAGTATAACGACATTAAAATACATTTAACTTATTTTTCCCTTTCCATTTCTCCTGAATCATAATTCAGTAGTTTCTCCTGATTGACAGCAAGTTTTGGAGAAATGTTTGCACTGGGCTGTCCACTGGGATTTGCTGCCTTCTTTTTTCCACCAAAAATACCACCTAAGTCAGAATCTATAAATGCAGTCCAAATTATTTTTTCTTGTCCTGCATTTGTTGGCAATTAGTATTATCTCCAAAACTTGCACCTTTAGCCCTCTAAAGTCACAGTCTGGTAGTTTTTGCATGAGGGGAGGCATGTAAACAAATAGTTGAATCTGTATTTACTGCCATAAAAGGCAATAATAATTATAAATGGTTTTATTTGTTTGTTTAGTAGACATTTCTTAGTAAAACACATGGAGTATTTTAGGGTCTTTTACTGAACTTAGATATTTTTGTAGCAGCTGTACCACAGACAGAAGAATCCTTTATTTTGCACCAATTGCATGATATAAGTTTGTCTTCTATTATTTTCCCTCAGCCTTTAACTTCATTTTAAGATTCCGTAGTTCTCCGTTCTATCAACCTTTGTTGCTATTTTGAGGCAGCAGAACAAAACAACTACTGCTTCTACTGAAAGATCATTTCAAACACCAGCTGTTTCCTATCTCATCAATCCATCCCTGAACATTACCAAATTGTTCCTTTATGACTACCATATAAGCACAGAAAGTTCACAATTAATCAGAGAAGAGTGATGAACCTGTGTATACTTCTGCTATGGGTTTCAGTTTCCAGAATATCTGTCAACGTATTCTGCTCTTCCATTCTTCTACTATGGAGCTTAACAACAGTGTAAGAAAAATTCAACACTTCATTTTCTTTAATGTAGGATATATTCTAGAAGGCTGTGTTTGCACTAGCAATTTAAAGGAACGCAAAAGGAGAATCTATTCCTTCAAAGTAGTGCTTTTGCTTAGTTCAGCTATGTAAATCTACTTGCACTGCACTTTTAAGTATTCCTGAAAAAAATACCACTTGTGTTTTTGTTTAAAATAAATTTCTTTTGCTAGCTATGACAATATGATTTCTCAAAAGATTTTCCTGGTCACTTCTTGTATGAATTAAATATTTCTTCATCTCGAATCATATGGGTTATTAGCAAGAGTTACATCTACAAAATCAAATAACGTCCCAGCCACCTATAAGGACTGGGAAAAAAAAACAACAATCACACAGAAACCTTCTTGCAGAGTCCTGTCAGTCTAACTATACTCCTGGTGTGATGAAGAGAGAGATGCTGAAAGCCTGCAGGTAAAGCATGGTGCAGATGGACAATTTAAAGTAAAAAGGTTTCCCCAAGTAACTATTTTGTAAAACAAAGGTTTCTTGCTAAGTCTCTTCTGACTGTCATGGATGTGAGTCAGCAGAAGCAAACCTGGTCTTGTCACTGTGGATCAGACAGCAAATTCTGCTCAAGATCCCTGAAAGTTCCTACACAATAAACGGAATGTTTATACACTCGGTTTTATCCAGTTTGGAGTGCCTAAGGCTGAAATAACTTCTAAAGATCTTTGAACAAAAATTTCTCCATTATTTAAATTACTTATCCCTGCCACTGAAAACACTTACCATTTCATCATTGTTTACGGAGGTCCGGATGAGCATGGCCATGGAAATACCAGATTTCCGAGCTGCAAGTGTCTGTTTAAAGCAAATGCAAAACTGATAAAAATTATACTAATAACTACAATTGTTGAAACTAATGGAAGACAACTAGTACTTCATTGTGCTACTGGATTTAAGTAAAACTGTAGGACTTACAAAACATTTTAGTTAATGTTTGCTGCACACAACTTTTAAGGTTTCAGTACATAATGCAAGCACACTTTCCATCATCATTACGGTTTCTTTCAGCAGTGCCTAGCTGAACTGCCATTTCTAATATAAAACCTGTTATTCAGAGGTTTCAGACTCAGTTTTTTTAAACCACAGGCTGTCACTGTTTTTCGGCTTTGCCAGCCAAATTAATGTGGTACAAAGACAGGCATCCTGCCCTAATTTGGAAGCTGTCTCTGCCTGCAGCAACATGGGAGATCATTTTGCAACAGTTTTATGGTTCAAGTTGTCAGTCTGGATAATTTTTTGTAACTCACTAAACATTTTTAAACTGTGTGTAAGTATATAAAACATATATATATGCTGCTTGTCTTAAATAAAAAAATCTTTGGGAAATCTAAAAGGGTTTTTTTTTTTCTTAAAGACAATATTCATTCAATAGTATGAATAGCTATGCGGAGAAATACTTTGTTCTTGGAGGGTGGAAGAAAGGCTGGACCACTGTCTCAATCTGTTGTCTTTTGCCCACATGATGTTATGGGTATTTGAACACCTCCCATTCTGAAGACTACATCCTACAATCTCCTTTGCTCTAGTATAGTACGTACAAAGGCACTTAAAATAAAGTATATTTATTGTACAATAAACAAGGAAATTTTCCTCTTCCTCACTGCAATATCCCTGTAATTTAAATGGGTCCTTGAGAATAAATTAGAGAATATAATGATCAGAAAGAAAAAGGCCCTGGGGAAATGAGTTCTATGTGTTTTCCAAATAATATTTCAATTCTGAATATAATTTCTGCTATCAGCAGTCCTTTTGGCCTGACTGAAACAGGTAAGATTTGTTCCACTGTACAAAACATTAACCATAACACTACTACATTACCGTATTTTACCTGCAAAATTGGGCTGTTACATCCTTCCCCCTACTCTAAATCATTCCAAGTGCACCTGTATACTTGTGCTTTATCCTTGTTCTTCCATAATCCAGCATCTTTGTCATACATTGTTGCCCTCATAGTCTAGCAGTGTGAGGATGATCAATTATACCACCCGCTAACCAGAAGTCTGCTGTTGCCTTCATTGTGAGGATACAGATTTTCACCTTACTGTGAACTGGGTCTCTGTATTCCACCATTATAGAGCTATTACAGCAAAAGTTTCAATTATATTCTGCATATGACATCCTTATTTTTGTGAAATATCTATTAGGTCAGAAGAAATTTAGGCTTACATCAGCAGAGGAACTGCATCATGAATCTCTGGATGGAGAAACAATTCCAATTTCTTATAATTTTAAACACTGACATAATTTAAATGGATCTTTTTCTACTTAGAGATATTAAGACTGTTAATTTTAAATGTTTACTTTCCCCTGAGAAAATACCCATTCAATTTGCAATACATTTCCCTTGATAATAATTAAACTTGCAGATAGACACAAAATTATTAATCTTGTGAAACCAATTATAGGATAAGAAGTCATCCTTGGCACAGAAATATTTGATTTGATTAATCACTGTCCTGTTACAGTTAATATAGGAAGCAAGGAACCTCCCCCTGCTTTTTTTTTTCTTTTAAACTCTCAGCAGCTTACCAAGCCTATGCCATTAATTTGCTATCAGTTTTCCCACTCTGTTATTAATAAGTAAATAATTCTGTTTGCTTCTCTGTGACCACCTTTTCCTTCCATTTCTGTGAATATAGGAAATTCCATTGGTGTACTTTAGTGAGACTGATGAAGTGGCAGGAAAGATTAAACAGAGCCCAGGCTTTGCCTTTTCAAACTTTTTGTCATAAACCCTAACGCTACAGGACCTACAGATTAAAGTGAGAAACAGCAAGCAAAAACATGTTGGGAACACTAAGAAGAGAAGAAACAATTTTCATTATCAGTAGAGTTTTAGGTTCAAAAAGATTCATTTAAAAAGCACCAATCTTCTGATTCCTCTTGAAGCACAGGCTTCTCAAACTCTTGAAAAGTAGCCATTAATATTTACTTGCCTGCAGTATGTTAGTTTTACAGTTTTGATTTCTAGTCTTAATATACCCTATACTTAGAAAGTGGTTTGACCCTTTTAGGTCTAAAATACACAATCCTAGCCATTCCAGGCTATGGAACATTGTGGACTACTTGTCAGGGCAGGAATACAAAGGGCATAATAACATTAACCTTGAATATAGGGTAGTGAATGATACTGTGTTCTGTCCTCCAGCAATATATCAGTCAAAGTACATGAGCCAGCAGGAGAACTGCAGTTTCATGCTATCTGTGTAAGTCAATAAATAGACACCATTTCCTGGGAGAAAAAGGAAAGCAGGGAAGCAATTTTGACCCTCTCTCAACGTGTCCTTGAGGCTGAGTTCTTTCAAGGGCTGCTCCTGGAATTGTGTAGCTTAACCATTTTGCTCCTTAATCAGAAATGTCTCTGAAATCATAGTATAGTGTCCTATATAAAATAACAAAGCCTAATAGGAAACAGATAATTAGGCTTTCTTAAAGCGTTTGTCATGTTGGAAGGATAATAGAAGAAAGTGATATCTAGAGGGATTTGTGATAAACCAGTAAAGTTAACAGTCTTGTGGACAAATTTACAAGGATTTTAGTGAAAAAACTCACAAGGATTATTTCCATTTATGTATCACTGTCAGAATAGACTGCATCTTCAAAAGAAAGCCCATAAAAAAACGTTCCTGTTCTGAAATACTGTAATTGGTGATAATTCAATAGCTTGAAGCACTGAACAAACACAGAACAGTGTCTGTTCTTAAGGACAGAATGAAGCAAAGAGGAGTGAGTACTTTGGAAAGAAGAAGGGAAAAATGCTGTCAGACACATTTATGGGAAACAAGGCAACAGGTCATGAATGTAGTGAGAAAACTTTTCCCCTTACTGCTCTCCTGTTTTTAAATAGTATCAAGGAAGAATGGTAAGTGCAGCTGATCGTCCAGAGCTTCCAGGAAGGAAATCCAAGTTGCTAGAGCATCGAAAGAACCAGGTGAGCAACAGGAACCTGAAGCCTTTCACTAGTCTCCTTTCACAGGACACAAGACTTGTTCAGCAGTTGATACCTGCTTACCCTCTCAAGCTGACATTCAGATACTTCCTCATGCCTTTCCTTATATGAGAATTTGACTTGCAGAGTGTAAAGATCTCTATGTAGGTACTATTGCCTCATGAACATATGGACAAAATTATTAAAAAAATAAATAAATACATAGGAGAAGATGATAAAGCAGAACATCACCTATTTAATTTTTAAATGTTTTTTTCAAATTCCTGATACAGGATTTAAAATAACTTAGTCTCCTTTGTGCTCAAGTCCTTTTAGATCCCCTTGTAACTTGTATCTACACTAGCATATTTGAAATTTGCCTTGAAATTTGCCTTAGCAGCTTAAATAAATAAATTAGAAGCCATTCTAGCAAAAACATTGAAAAGCAGTAACTATAAGTAAAAGAGAATTAGGCTCAAGCTACAATTAAATGAAAAATTGTGCGCATGAGAAAAGATCCACCTGGCATAGCGAAGTAAAAGAAAGCTGGTCTGAGCAGCTAAAGCAGCAGGGAGGAAGAAGCAGTCAAGCCAACGTTTTGTAACTGTTCACGAGTGCTGGCTGTGCCATGCAATACTCAGTCATTGCTTTTTGCAGAGTTTCAGTTCTCCTGATTACCTTTTCCTTCAATATGTTTTTCTTTAAAAGAATCTAAAGACTGCTATTACCAGAAAAAAAAAAAACCAAACAAACATGTTGAAGACAAAACTGTTGTCACCACTTTACAAACACTCTTGTATTTTTTATGTAATGTAAAAGTTATCCACTAAAAGCAAATCTAACAAAAAAAAAAAAACAACACACACACAACTGTGTTCAGCATTTAAAGCTGCACGATTTCAGAATTGTTTCTTTTTTGAGCATCTACAAGTAATTTATCACTCTAGGGATCTCACCTTTATTATTTTGAAAGACAGATTTGTACACCATTGCTTGGGGAGGGTGGGAAGAGCAGGAAGGAGAAAGAAATCACTCAAAAGGAAACAACCTATTGTCTGAAATGACTTACCCCCTTCCTATAATTTTTCTATTAAAAAAGTTGATGTCTGATACTGATTATTGTTTCAGCTGAAATGGGTAGCTTCATCTAGTAGTGTCACTTCAACAGTGTGAACCAAGCAGACTGTTTTACAACAGTGGCAAGGATTCACAAATTATTCCTGCGTTCTAACAATCAAATGATAAAGCTAACTAATAATACATTCTTGAATGATCGAAAGAAGGATTTTGCCTAATTACAGTGATTGTACAGTATAAAGTCACTTTTAAATTAAATGAAATTAGCAATTTTCTAGAGTTTTCCTAACATTTGAAATGATGAATTGCATTAACAGAAGCAAAGGCTAAAGGATAGTGAGACAGAAAAACAGAACTAGCTATCTTTGCCCATGACTGGGCAGATCATCACATCTATTTGGCCATTGTCAGTTAAGTATTTCTAACCTCCACTGTATTTACTGCTCTTCCTCTCCCTGATTGTAGTCTCACCTCAAATAAAAGCTTTAACTAGTACAAAAGAGAGAACATGTTTGTTTAAAAGTAGAAGTTACAGCGAATACATCACAAGTGCACTCCACTCTCTTTTTCCGGCTCCACATTAAACAGAGGTCTGTTGAAGCTCTGTGTTGTTACACAAACACCTCTCTCTAGTGTTACTCTGCTTGAACGATCACTTCTCTTTTCATTGTCTTTCCCTCCTATACCAGATACATTCTGCTAGAAGTCTAATAATGACCCATAGTGAAGCTCATGATTGCAGCAAAGAGAACTGTTCCGGCAGATGGATTTTGACTGTCATATCCTCTCTAACGACTCAATCCAAAGCAAGCAGGGAAAGCAGAGTTGCAATGCATTAGTGAAAAAACTTATCTCAGATTTAGGAGATAAACCAGTAAGGCTGCTGCTGAAACCTTGATTTTTTGAAATGTGGATTTATGGAAACAAATGGGAGTCAAAGATATCATCTTAAGAAGATGTACACAATTTTGATACACCTTATAACTGAGACACCATGCTGAAAGCATGGGAACTAATGCAGAGAAACTGGAAGTGCAGAAGGACTAGGAAAATCAGGAGAGACCTTTACAAGTGCCAAAGTTGGAGGAGAAAAAAAAATAAATCTCAGAGTTATTAACTTAGTTGTCAAAAAAACCCTACACCATAGTACCTGAGTCTTTATTTACTTTGGAAAATTCACCTTTTACAAGAGAGATCAAAGAATTTAGTTGATTGATTCAAGAGAATTTAAAAGTAGCGAACACGTTCAACTTCTCTTTATGTAGGTATCTAAGGCAGTTCAGTTCTACAGGGGAAGCACCACGACTGGGTCCTAAACAATCTCCTTGGAATACATAGATAACTTTTGAACATAAACTTTTTCTAATAATTTTGGCATATATGATGTAGAGGACAAGACGTTCACATAAGGCACAACTTCACTTAGAATTAAATTCTTGGTCATAAAATAGTTTTTCTATTTTCTAATAAAAGATCAGCATAAAATACGATATTAATGAAATCCCTAAGAGTTATTATGAACATTTTAGAACATTTATCAGTATAAAAGCACTTACCATAGCCTGAAAAATCCAGCCAAGAAAGGAAAGAAATTATAAAGAATATTAATAATTTGTCAGATTTATTGCAACAAAGAAAAAAAATTAATATCTATTTCAGTCAATGTCAAAAGAGTCTAGCACTCATTTCTAGCAGTATTATTTTTATTTTTTTTTAAAAAGTCATGTAAATAAACACTAAAAAAAAAATGTATCAGATCTTACAAGGACTTAAGAATTAAGTTACTGATTTAAATGAGATATTTTGAAATCAACATATTACAAGCTCAGAGCTCACAGGAGATTGCTTAAAATGCACATACTTTCAAATACAAATAATCTTTCAAAGATTAAGATGACCTACACTAAGTCTGAAATAAGTTCCTCTTAAGTTGGTAAAATTGTTTTAGGTTTACAGCTGCAGAACTGAATTGTAATATAATTTACTATTATATAGTAAATATGGTATATAGTATGCTTAAGAGCTATACTGTGATTCCATAATTATTAAATTCCAGAATAAATGTCAGTTTTAAAACTCTGCAACTTCCACTTATTAAAGGTACAATTACTTCAAGAGGAGTTATCCTTCAATGACTGGACAGTTTCTTTTTTGTTTCACTTTGATAGTTATGTTTTTCAAAACTAATAGTTACTATTAGTAACTAATAGTTACTATTAAGATTCTGATGTCTTGTTCTGAGCAATACCTGTCTGTAAAGAGTTCCAACAATTATATAATGCTATTTAATATGCATAAAAGTGTCATAATGCAGCTGTAAGTTATACATAACACAACTTACAGTGGAGTGCCTACTGTCAAAAAGATGGTTTCAATGAATCCAGGCTCTACTATGTCATAAATTGCAACTTATCATTGATTTCAGAAGGAATTCTACTCTAAAATGATTGCTATGCTTTCTCTCTGTGACCGTTCAGACAGTATGGTAAATCACTGTAAATCACTGAACAGAGTAGCTGAGGATACATTGAGCAATAACTTGGCAAAGACTGATCTTTTAAAGACAACTATAGTAATTGTTTCCTTTGGCTGACTCCCCATTGTTGGTTTACAATGAGAAATTGGTTTTGGGGCTCACCACCACCGGAGACTAAATACATATTTTATTGAATTATGGATTCTATACTTCAGAAAAACAAAAAGAGAAATCTGAATAGTACTTAAAATTCCTCAGAGCAGAGAGATTCTACTTAATCTTGTTTAGACTGAAAGTCAGAATAAATATCAAAGGAACTGCTATTCTTTTCACCTTTCTGAAATATTTATCTGGATTATTGTCTACAATGACTGTTAAAATAACACGCTTCATCTTGTACCAAAAGTATGCATGCATCTTTAAAACACTCATACTGAAACAGGGTTGCTTTCTAAAAGGAACTTTCTTCCTCTTTCAGTATCATAATAAATCAAGTCAATCAGTATCCCAAGCACTCAATAACAGCTCTCTTCGTAAGCCAATTCAACGTGAAAATGAGTAGTTTATTACTGCATGAAAAGCACATTACTGGATTCCACAAGCAATATCTAAATATTTGATGAAATATTCCGACTTATCTAGTACATTATAACAACTGCATAATTGACTTTCACTGGCCTCAATCCATTCGCTCAAGATACCTTTTTTCCATAAAACAATTGTTGACAAACTATCACTCACATGCACGAAAGTAATTACAAGAAAGATCTAGACAACTGAAAAATGAGTCCACGGTTTCGTGGCATCGGAAGTTACTTACCACATCTCGAACAATGGGAAAAGATTTCTTTCTACGCAGGTCTGGCATGCTATCAATTCCATACAGCCCACGGCCAGCACTGTAGGAGACGAAAAGGCAAAGAAGAAAATAAAAACCTGGGGCTTACAAGTTTGCATCCTTAAGAATTGCTTATAATATCTGTATTTACAGTTAAAATCTGTAGTAACAGTTAGCAGTTACCAGCTGAAGAAGGCAAGTGTTATACTTCTTATGAAAAATTAATGAGAGCTCTTGATGTGGCTGACTTTTTCTCCTGGAATTCACTCAAAGTAAACAGTAGTGTAAAGGTTGCTTAATACCTCCTAAAACTTCTTACCATGGACTTAGAAATTATAAGAGTAGCAAGCCCAACATTGTACAGGATATAATTTTTGTCATAAATTTGATACAGAGTAAAATATCCAACTTAATACATAACCACATCAACTTATGAGGCCATGTGAATGTGGAAAATTGTCACACTTTAAGATAATTCCATGGTGACCATCATTACTTTCTCTTGCCTGGTCCAAGCTTTTTCATTAAGTACACATGTAAACCCCATATTAGATCTCACATACAACTTGGAAACAATAACAGAATAAATTGGAACCGCTTCAAAGAATAAAAGACTGACACACCAATAGGATTTAAAAGAACACATACTGATCTGGTAACAATATGCCTCATTCTCCCTGACTCTCCAGAAGAGGTAATACAGATACTATCTTCCTCATTTTTTTTCCCCACAGTGGATGTTGGAAGATTACTATATACCTTGTCAGATCTAATTCAGAGATACTTTGAGATTTTCAGAGAAGCTGGGATACCCTATTTTTCAAGACCCAACATTTTCCCCTCCTTGTTCCTTCTGTTTGACACCATCTCAAATACCATTTTCAGTTGTTCTTATATTTCTATTTCTCTGTCTTTATGTATGAAATAAAGTACATGTCGCAGCAAACAGCTTATCATCTGAAAGCCCTCATTTTATTTATACACATCGCGATTACTGGGTGAAGAGAGATTTAACTGAAATTAGTGACAGACTTTTCACTTTCTTCTGAAGGGTCAGTACTTTGTCCCAAATACTCCTCTGCTGACTTGACGATTACAAACCTGTCCTCCTGCCACTAGTAGAGCTGACTCTGTTTATACAGTCTATAGAGTTGACTATCTAATTCCGTATTTATTTAAGCTAATACTCTGGCTGATGATTCCTGTTAGATGATTCCATATAGATGTTATAGCTCCATAGCCAAAAGGAATTATGAATCAGACCTCAGCTGTCACGATTTACAGCCTGGCATATTGATACAAGCTGAAATCAATACCGGCTTATGCTAATATGCCAGACTGTAAACAGTTCAGGGACAGACATATTCCTCTACTCTGATACCTTCAGTGCTAGTATCTTCAAGATGAATCAATGCAAGCCGACAGAACTCACAAATCAGAAGTTCAAATCATTTAAGAGAAGAGAAAGACATTAATTGGTATTTCAAAGAAGTCACCAACTCTGCTTTAAGCAGTCTCTGAATTACAAACTCTTAGAAGACCAGAAGTCTAAAGAAATATCATATGCTATGCTTACTCTTTTCTGACAATTTGCTAGGTATCTGCTTTTGGCCACTGTCAGGAAGAGCAGGATGATGGGCTAGATGAACCTTTGGTCAGACTCTGTATCACTGGGGTTTGGTTGGTTGGTTTTTGGTTGATTTGTTGTTGTTGGAGTTTTTTGTTTGTTTTGTTTTTAAGGCACAGCCTACAATAATTTTTATCTCTCACTTAGAATAAAATGGACTTCTATTTGGTCGCCTCACTATTCCACAGGCTTCTGGAAGAAATGGACACAGCAATAGACTGGCAGTATTTATTTCCATGCTTTACTTTCAACAGAGGCAGAACGGCAAATTTACTTTCTTGAGTGTGCTTGATAAAGTACTTGAAAAGTTCGGCTTGGGTGAAGCTTAACTGAACTAAAATCAGAAGAGAGAAAAGGTAAAATGGCATAATGACATCTATGTTTTGGGAGGTATTTGTTCACCTTCTGTTCAATAATTCCTATACTTGGAAGTTCTGGTGAAATTTTATCTTTTGCAGTATCAGTATTACAGACAGGTCCAGCTTCTGATCTGCAGAGAAATGGGGGAGCTTTCTTGCTCAAAGTCAAAATGATATTGCCCAAAAATATGAGACACACAAGAGCAGTTACACCATTAAAAAAGTGATGAAATAAACAGAGAAAATCTGGGCTAACAGACTACTTAGTGGGCAGCTCTTCAAGTAGAATAAATTGCAAAAGCAATTTCAGAAGTTATCCTTTAAGGTCAAAGAGTACTTTTAGATAGCAGAAGGAAAATCCCTAAGATGGAATAAAAAATAAACTTAACAAAACCACAAAGTGGAAACAAACATTTGGGGTAAAAACAATAGGTATTGCAGCATGGATAACACTGAAATCTGTGCCATGGATGCAAGAGCATCAATTAGCATCAAGGGAATTGTTAACTGTTAAAGTCAATATTAGAAATAATGAGTAAGAAAGCACTGCTGCACTCTCCAGTCCCACAGACTATGTTACTGTGATGAAGCACTCATCGCAGTTGCCAAATATTAAAGCTCAAGAGTAAGACATTATACATTTGGAGCTGTTGATACACAGATAAATCCCACAGAGGGAACAAAGCCTGTTTCTCCTATCTTTTAATAAACAAAGACACTCTGAATATTGTTTCTGATATGAATTTTTAAAGATTAAAGTTCAAGAACATCTACACATTCATTTAATCTTGTAGTTCAACATACCTGCAAAGAGATTGATAGAGATCTAATATTTACACTGATATGCACAAGATTCAATCCCCAAAATTGATTAGTTTAACTTTAAAAAAACCCCTGTGAAGTCAAGAAACTTTCTCCACAAATTCAAATAGGATTGAGACGTCCATGCCCAGCTCTCTGAACACCATCAAACATTTTTATCTTCAAAGAACTTTCCTATGTCTTAATAACTTAGTATTCTTTTTCATATGGTGCCAAAATTAAAAGATAAAAATGCAATGTTGTGGTTTTTTTTCCAAACAAAATATAACTATTAAAGTTTTTCTGAAAATTGTATCTCTTTTCCCATTAGTTAAAAAAAAATAAACAATCACATTTCACTACATTTCACTATCCTGTCACAAAGCAACAACTATCTTCACATAGCCGGTAGGAATAAAACTGGCAGGACAGTAAATTTTATTTCCTAATAGGAGACCTTCCGATCTCCTCAACTTTGACATTCTTCAGGGAAATCTTGCTTGACAATGAATTTTTGCCTTTGCTCTTGCAAAGAAAATCACAGATATATTTTACACTCATAACATGGCTCAGAAATGAAGTGATGCTTTCATCCTTAAGTTGTATACTGGTATTTAAAAAAAGCAGACATTTGGTGTTGGATAAAATTGCTTGATCCCAAGATGCCAAACCTTAAACCCTTTTCTTCAAAATGGCAGTCTCTTGGCACTGTGCAGGAGTGAGTTAAAGATAATGCTCAGAATAAAGTGAAGAATAAAGGTATAAATTGATTCAAAATATTGCTTCCTTAAGAGACAACAGTAAAATAATCAAGATCTTTAGAAGCTGAATAAGGTGAAAATGCCTTTGAGTGTTTTTTCTCTATGATGCCTTCAAGTTATTAGGTGCTTTATTGTTAGTAGATAAGCTCTAGCAGGAAGTTTCTTAAGTTGTATGTCATTAATTGGCTTATGGGTTATATTGTGGATAATACTCTGAATACAGATAATAACTTCCTATTATAGATGCTTAAAGCTGTTTTAAGGCATGTGAGTTGTTATTAAGGTACTGGTTTCCAAAGCAAAAGCTTGAAATAAACATGGACCTTTATATACTCCCCAGAATGTAGATCACATTTAGCTAAAGGACAAGGCCTAAGTTCTACTTTATTGTATGATCACCTATTGGTTCACAGACAAGTTCTTATTCTGCAAACATTGAAGTAATTTTGAGCTTTAAGAAAAGAGTTTGCAGTTTCATTTTGATCCATATTGACTAAATTTAATTAAAGATACAAAAACAGTATACGGGAAGAATGCATTCCTTGTTCTAGGTTCCGAAAAAAACCCTGATGTACAATGGGGATTATTTCCAAGAAAAGCTACAGTTTAACCTACAGTCTCTAAAAGAGAGAGATCAACAATTCCTCAATACTTAAAAAAAAAAAAAAAAAAAGTCGACAACAGTATTAGGTATTCTTCTTGTTGAAAATCCTTTAACCAGAAAAGAATTTGGAATGTTCTTTCATAATGGTCCTGCTATAAATTGTTGATATTGCTAATATTTCTGTACAAGAATTTAGTTTTGATTTTAAAGTAGTGACGTTCATTTAAAAACAAAAAAGTAGTTGACTAACAAAGCAGCTAAGTTTGAAATTACTTTTTAAAATCATCTTTCAGTGATAGAAGGTCACAGTACTGTTTACTAGTGCAGTAAGGAATGGAGAACTGCAAGCTACCTTCATATCAATGGCCTTACAGTGGATTAATAATTTCTGAGCTATTAATTGCATTGAATAAAAGATATGTTAAGAGCTGTGACTGACCCAGTAAAGATTTCCTGTACAGTACAGATGCTTGGTGGTCCAAAAGATATTTGTAGGCAAAGGACAAAATAATGTATAAAAGATATAAACTTGTCACATGAGAATCATTAATTATTACAATTAGGGCAAATAAATTAAAAGGAATGGTACAAATATTCCTACCCTTTCTGGAGCCTTCCAGTTTTGGTGAAAGGCCATTTCTTTTCTTTTGCCCATTAGGACATTTTTCCCTATACTCGAATGAGAGCTCAGTGCATGTGTAACACACTATGCCTGAAATATTCTAACTGCCTGTAGTGTGAG